AATTTGATATGAAAATATCAAAATACCCCTCACTTAAAATTAAGTTTTCTCCCATTTTATTTTTTGCTTTTTCTCCTCCACCCATGACTAGTGACCTGACTCCCTCCATTAGACAAAATCCAAACCTAATAACAACAGTCATCAGAGACGGAGAGGAGAGAGCTCTATACGATTGGTTTGTTCTCTTTATTTATATATGATTTTTGAAGTTGCATTTTCATTCCTATCTGTGTATCCTTTGGTTTATTTACTTGTAAAGTTAGTATTAACTTTGCCCGTAACAACTGCATCTGTGGAAAGAGCATTTTCAGCTATGAAATACATCAAGACTGCACTCCGTAATCGGATGGGGGATGAATGGTTGAATGATTGTTTAGTGCCATATACTGAAAAAGATGTATTTGATAGCATTGATAATGAGGCAATTATGATGGAATTCCAAAAAATAAGGCCTAGAAGAATGATATTGTAATTATTTTTATTGTAATATACTTTTGTTATTAAAATATATGTACTTGAACTTCTTAGTGCCCACCCTTCATCAATTTTCTGGATCCGCCATTGATGTTGATGTTGATATAATGGCCACCAATGAATCTTGTTACCTACCTGTAACTGACTTGTCACATTTTTCATATGTTCTGTGAAGGTGACATGAGATGAGCTGATTCAGAAATATAACTAAGTTTTGCATTTCAAGCCAACATGAATTCTGTTATACCATGCTCTGTGGGCAATGTTCCACTTATTCCTGGAACTTGCTTTTTGACAAGGAAGACTAATTCTGTAAATACACTCAGTTTGTCAAGGAGCTCTGTAAAACATGAATCATCGACTCTGAGATTTCTATTACCTCCATTTGTTGCCAGTGGACTATTTCCACAGAACAAAAGGAGATACTCTTTTCATAAAAAATGTAGAACCTCCGCATCAGCCATAGAGACAAAAGTAGCAATGGAGGCACCAGATTCACCTGTTGCAGATGAAGATTCTGCTAAAGCCTCTGAAGCTCCTTCAGATGAAGTTGGAATAAGTGAAAATGCATCTACTAAGTCTGATGCCATTCCTGCTCCAGTTAAAGCTATACGTTCAAGATCTACTAGGAGAAGTGAGATGCCTTCTATAAAGAAAGAGGATTTGATTCCTGGGGCTACTTTTGCTGGGAAAGCAAAATCTATTCATCCATTTGGTGCCTTTGTTGATTTTGGAGATTTTACAGACGGGCTTGTTCATGTTTCTAAGCTTATTGATGGCTACGTTAAGGATGTTGCCAGTGTTGTTTCTGTAGGACAAGAAGTGAAGGTGAAGCTAATTGAAGTGGACACTGAAACTCAGCGTATTTCTCTTTCTATGCGTGACTTTGATGACACTGGTAAGCCGCAGCAATGAAAAGATGCAACCATCAGTATGGAGAAGGCGGGACCTGGGAAGAGGAACACTTCAAAGCCTAGTCCGAAGAAAGATGTGAAGAAAAGCACAGAATTTGTCAAAGGTCAGGACCTAGTGGGTACGGTGAAGAATATGACTAGGACTGGTTCTTTTATATCACTTCCTGATGGGGAGGAAGGATTTCTACCCATATCTGAGGAATCTGATGAGGGGTTTGGGAATGTTACGGGAGTTTCATCACTGCAGGTTGGTCAAGAAGTCAGTGTACGAGTTTTGCGTATCACTAGAGGACAAGTAGTAACGTTGACTATGAAGAAAGAAGAAGATGTTGCAGAGTTGGACTCAACACTTAGCCAAGGGGCTTTCCATGTTGCGACAAACCCTTTTGTATTGGCTTTTCGTAAGAATAAGGGTATTGCTGCATTTTTGGCTGAGAGGGAGAAAATAAATAGTGCAGTCGAAACACCATCAAAGGTAAGAACTTCAGAAGAAACAAAGGGAACTATAAAGCATGGGGAAACTGTATCAGATGTTCCTGATGCACAGGGTGAACCAAAAAGCAACAAGAGGTTGATTGATGATATTCCTTCTGAAGTAAAAATAATCAGGAAGGTGAAATCGATGTCGTAGCCAATGCAGTACATGCTGCTTCAAAAGCTTTTGTTGATGGTGAAAGAGACACAGTAAGCAATATCTCCAGCCATTGTCAGATTTAGACAGTGCCTCTGAGAAGGAAGCGAAGGTGACTTCTGGAAGTTTGACTCCTGAAGTGGATATACCTACTGTAAATCAAATTAATTGAGGAAACTACTCTAACAGATGTGGTAACAACATAATAACCGAGTCACCTATTGCAATAACTAATAAAAATATAATAGAAAATGGAGTTGATCATATTGTTGCTGAAGATGAAAAGCAATTGCAAACTTATAATTCAGATGAAGAATTTTCCTCCGCTGCACCAACTGACAGTGATGTGGTTGAGCCTAGCTCCAATAAAATTACCAGTATTACAGGGTCAGATACTACATCAAGTGCACCAGGTCCACGAGAAACTGCAGGTTCATTCTATTCTATCTCCCACTGTCTATCCTATATAAATCCATCTGTTTATTTGTTTTTCTCTCATTTATATTTGCATATGCAAATACTGATTTTAATTCCATATCCAATATGGCAACTAAAATTAAACATATTTTGTGCAATAAGGTGCATGTACAAGAAATTTCCAAATAATTCATCTTATTGAATTTTGTTTGCATCACAAGCAAATGACAATGTCAGATCTGTGCTTGAGAAGAATGACAGTGATACTAGTTCAAGCAGACAAATTGGCATGGTTTCTTCTGAGGGAAGCTTGAATGCAGGTTATTCTTCAATTTTGTTTCTTTACCTGCTAGCCTGGTTCAGTTTTAGTTGATGAATTAAAAATTTTAACGAGAAGAATTCTGAATAGGGTGTTTATTTGGTTAAATATTATCGCATATTACGTGAAATTTTGTAGTTTTCATTTTCAAAGGGATCCCAATCAGTCGGTACTGTGTAATCATAGTAGTTGGTATACTTAACAAGTGGAGTATTTTTTTCTTCCTTTTCTTGTAATGGGAGTGTTCTTGAATTGTTAATTCTCTATCAACAGATGGAACAGAAGATAATAGTCAAGTTGCCTTGCCTGAAAGTAATCCTGCTGAAGTTGTTATAAACTCCATTGATGACCCCAAAGAAGTACAAAAACAAACTCCTGTCATTGAGAATGAAAATTATTTTGCCACAAAAGTTGAAGATAAAGATGTTGCAGTTGTGTCTGAGGAAAATAGCAGTGTATCTAATGCCAATGGGCAAGCTGGCATTACCGCTTCAGATCAAGGCCGTAGTAAAGGTTTATATTTAATTTTCTTTACATCCTATTTGGAACCCAGAAATGGGTTCTGAATTTTCAGAGAGAAAAGAGCTGAGAAAAACGGAGAAAGGAAAGGACAAAATAGTACTTTGGTAGAGTTTATTGAATTACAAACAAAGAACAAACTATCAGTACCCTGCTAGTTACAATGTTGATATTTGGGAATTTCTAACAGCACTTCCCCCCTTCTTCAAGATTCACCTTGTCGTCAAGGTGAAGGTTTTGTTGGGTTGCTGAAATTTTTAGAGCTCTTATTTGGGTGCACTAAATAGGGGATGTGTGTTATTGAGCTTAGCAGATTGTTGTGCTTGAAAGCATCAGCAAAGAGGTGGGGCTGTGGCCCAAGGTATGGGAAGGTTACTCAGCATATAATGATAGCTTGCTTGTCCTTTGAAGCAAATCCTCTTCCTTTGATCAGACCCATACTTCCTTGCTTCATGACCTCCTCCCCTTAACGTCCTTTTATAGAATTCCAGTTCCTCTCTCTAGTGGTTTGGGCTGGGTCCATTATGTAAAAAATTCTCAATTGTTGTAATTCCAATTTTGTCCCTCTTCCCTTTTCCTCCTTCGCTCTTCATCTAGTTGCAGTGGCCATAGCTATTGCCGCCTCATTTGTGCCCCCCCTCTCTTCACCCGCTGGGTCCAACTGGGAGTTTAAACCAACCAATTTGGGTGCACTGTAATTCAATTTTGATCAATGGCATTGCCTTTGGGCATCAAACAAATTAGAATTGTGACCAACAATACTTTTACCTTCATTGATATTCCTTTATTTTCCGGTGTGCTTAATTTTTTTCTTTGCATTCATGCATAGGTATAGGATTTTTCTTGTAGTTAAATGTATGCCCTCTTTTGTGGATTTCAGCAACTATATCACCAGCTCTTGTGAAGCAACTTCGGGAAGAGACTGGAGCTGGAATGATGGACTGCAAGAAGGCTCTATTAGAGACTGGGGGGACAGTATTAAAGCACTGGAGTTCCTGCCGAAAAAAGACTTAGCAAGTGCAGAAAAGAAAGCAAGCAGAATAACTGCTGAAGGAAGAATAGGTTTTTAACTCAACACTCAAGTACCCAATTTTGTCATCAATGTAAGCTGTGGGAGCATTGCAGTAAAGAACGAAGCTGAATTTTTAGAGATAGCTTGAGAGCTAGCCAAGGCCAATCAATAGCCAGCAACCATTCTTATGGGTGTCTCGACCACCAAGTTAATGTTGATGGTCTTCTTTTGTCACTTAAGTGTGGGAACTGAAACCACATTAGAATGTTTTGTTTGCAGGAGTTTATACTCTAATCTTGCCTTCAATTATATAAACTTGTATTAAGAAAACAAAAATTGCTAAATGACTCGAGTAACTTAAAAACCTCATTTCAAGAATCACAAGGCAACTCTCTTATAATCATTGGCGCTTTGCTACTAACCTCATTCTGCATTCATTCTCTAAATTACATGTTAAGTCTGCACTTGGGCGCAGCCAAATGCTTAAAAGTTTAGATAAAGAAGTCATAAAAAATTAAATTATAATAACTTATGATGTGCAAAGCAACATTTGCTAAACACGCCAGAGAAAGAAAAAAAATAGAACAATGATTGTAAAAAAGTAAGTTCCCTCACTGAACAAAAGAAATAAAAATACAAAATGACAAACAAATAATAAAAATAAAAAAAAAAAAAAAGTATGATGTTCTTTTCTTACCTTGCTATGACAAACAAAATGCTCACTCGCATAAACTTATAGAGAGAGGACGAATACGTTACTAGAGAAATACAAAATTTACATACTACCGTAGCCTTAACGATTGTTATTAAAGTAAGGTGAGGGAGAACAAACCTAAGAAACCCTAAAAGTCTGCATCAAAATGATGTAGACGTTTACAACCAACCTAATATGTTGTCATCAATATATCTTGCCTACTAAAAAAGTTAAGGACGCTACAATCTCGTATATAGAATTATACATAAGCAAGAAGGTATCATATGCGTAAAACGTGATATTCTATCTTTCCGGATCAATAGACAATACTATAGCACACAGCGTTGCTCTAGTTGCGACTTTTGCACTTCTCCATAGCTCTAGGTGCTGCAGGAAAAAAGAATATAGATAAGTGCAACAATAAATACAGAGACCATAAACTCCATAGTAGCAATTCAGAGGACAGTCAGTGGAGTGAAATTGCGTTCTATAAAACCAGGATTTGTTTTCCAATTTGGATATGAGATTTTTATTGCTGAGATTTCTGCTTTCTCAATTCAACAACTAGATATTAATGAAGGAAAGCAGAGATTATAATAGATAAGTTATGACAAATGTCAGCCATACCTAGCCCAATTGCCTCAGAACTCTTCATTATCCTCAGCCTCTTGCAAGAGTCAGTGAACATCCTATAAGAAGAATAATAAGATCATTTTAGAAGGAAATACTCATAGTTCCCTTGAGACAGCTCAGTTGGTAGAACTGTGAGACATGCAATGAGGATGCTAGGTTAAAACCCCCTCTTGAAAAATAAAAATAAAAAATAAAGAAAGACTCATAAATATGTCCTTTGTTGATTCTGATATTCCTAGACCGAAACAGACATTCTCCTAGAAATTAATTCAGAAAATGCACTTACTCCCAGGGAACATCACCAACTAGCATCCAATCACCATCCTTGTCTTCATAGGTAAGCACATATTCTGAACCATGAAGAAGATCCATCAATCTACTTTCACTTAAATTTTCTCGACTAGAAACCGCATAAGAACTACATTGACCTGAACTTGTCAATGAAAACATCATTAGAATCTGTAACATAAAAATACACGCATATTCAGTTATGTGATTCTATGCTATTGAAACACTATACAACATTGGAATAGACCAATGTTAATAAATTCAAGTCACCAACAGCTGTACTTTCAAAGTATATGAGGCAAAAAAATGAGTTTTTTTATAGAATTTAAGCCAACTATTTATTTTTAACATTTGGTTTCTTCATATTTTCCCTTTTAAATGCAAATAATTATTTAAAGAGCCTTTTTTAGTAAATAGATGCGAGTTGTAATTAGGGTATCTAACCTACTCTTTATGTTCCTATCATCTAAATAAAATGTTCTTCAAAGAATGATTATGAGAATAATTTGTATCACCGACAAATATTTGTGGTTATGCATGATAAGTTGGTAACAAGTGACAAGCCACACACAGAGGTGAGAAGGTGATAACAATTAACAAGTGGAAAGGAACTCACTGATTGTAAAACAACTAAACATCTTTTCGAGTGCTGAAGAAAGTTCCCTGTACGTGCTAAAACTATTCAGATCCACTTTCCTCAAGTATGGGGCGCCTTCCATGCTGACTTTTACGTAAAGGCATTCAGACTTGGCTTCAGCATCAGCATCAGCATCAGCATCATTCTTTTGAGGCTGAGTGGCCATTGAGTTCTTCCTGAAAGAACGGATTGGTGGCCATCCTACAACTTGCGCCCTGATTCACATAAGAAGAATAAATCACACTGTAGGATAATCCTCAAGCAAAGAGCCCAAAATGAGAAAATAATTCAATTTAAGGCCAGTGATTATGAATTCAAAGCAAAGGAATCTTGCTAAACGGATTAGTATGATCATGTCTAGGTGAAAATCAAATAACACAGCAGCAGAGGAAAAATCTTTCAGCATCAGAAAGCATGGAGAATGATAATTGGAGGAGTTCAATCCAAAATCATATACAAAATAAAATAAAAATCATAGACAACCTAGATGCAGAAGAAATTTTATGGAACCATAATAACTAATTGGCGATGATTAACATAGTAGGAATATCCTTTAAATTATATATAATACAAGTAACAAAAACTCTTTCTACACTAGAGGCTATCATGAGAAAATAGTTAGCAACAAGCTGAGTCAGTTCACTTATGTTTAAATTTCAACTGACTAACTGATGTAGACCTTTTCTAGAGGGAACAAAAAATAACCCTTTCCTCTTCTTCAGAATTATCCGCATGCCTAATTACTCAACAATAAAAGAAAGATCAAACTCAACATAATTTTGTTCTGGCTTCAACATTTTGTAAAGACAGAAAAATTATAAACACAAAACGGACGAGACATAAAAAATTAATCATGAACGTTGAACGCACAGCCAACATCAATATATATATTATATATATCCAATAGCAAGAAGAAGGGAGAGAAAAATAATGAAGCTAAAGGAAGATGGTTGTACTTTGCAGCGGGAGCAGAAATCTGAGGCTTCTTCTCATGCAATGGCTTTGGAGAGTGTGGGACACTTTCTTTGACAACAGAGACACCCAAAGCCGTTTGCTGGTTGGTGCAGTCAGGCGCGGCAAGAGAGAGAGACTTGGGAGCAGTAACACCCCTTGGAGAGAACAAGCCACCATCTTTACACAAACCCACTTCAGATCCACCATTCCCAGAGAGAACCCACTTCCCAGAACCTCCATCAATGGCGTCCGAGAAACCCCTCTTAGCCCCAGATACCAAACTCTTGAGCATGCCTGGGAACCCATTCTTGTCCTCCACACCATCTCTCTCTGGTGACTCGGACCCTGGCAAGCCAAGTCTCAGTTCCGTTGCTTTGAGGTTCAACCCAATGTTCCTCTCTGTAGACTTGTCAGAGCTTTCCATTGAAGGAACCTCTGTCATGCCAACATACCCCTGCTCCAATGGCACAGACATCAAAACTCCTCTAACAGTACTTTAACTGCTCTAGAATGAAGAAGCGAAAGAGAAAGAGAAACAGAAGCAGAATATGAATTTGAAGAATCAGAACTCAACAGTCGAAAGAAGATATGTTGATGAAGAGGAACTACTCTGTAGCTTTTGTTGGGTTATACTCTTTCTTCTGTTTCTAAATGATATCTCTGCGCTCTGTACGTTAAGTAGTGTTAACCATTTGTATTTGAAGGGAGCCCACAAAAATAAAAAGGACAGAAAATCGACAAAGTTAAATTAAGGGTGTGATGATAATTTTCTTAGAATCATTTTTTTTTTTAAATTTTTTTTTTTTGAGAATAGAAATAGATAGAAAAAGTGTTTCACAATTTTTATTTTTATTTTCCGAAAATGAACAAGTTCAATTTCTGTGTTAGGGAACAGAAAAAAGAATAAAAAAAAGTTTACTTTTATGTTCCGAAGCACAAAATGAGAAATATTTATCTCTTTCAATCACTCTCCACTACTATCATCATCACCACCACCACCACCACTACCCGACATTACTACCGCCACCATCGATACTTCCGTCGTCATCACCACCAACACCACCACAATGCCACCGCCACCATCACCACCATTATGTCATCGCCACCATCTCCACCACCGTTACCAACCATCATCACCATAGCTACAACCATTGTCGTTACCACCACCATCACTACCATCACTATGTCACTGCCACCGCCATAACCACCACCACAATTGCCACCATTACAATCATCATTGTCGCAGCTACTGCCATCACTACCACCATCATCGCCACCATTACCACCACCACCACTACTATCACCACGTCATCGCCACCACCACCACGTCATCACCACCACTACCATCACCACGTCATCGTCGCCGCCACCACCACCACCACCATGCCACAACCACCACCACCATGCCACAACCACCACTGCCGCACCATATGAAAAGGAAAGTTATTATGGACTTGACATAAAGGCTCATACTCTAGAAGGGCTAATAACTAAGAGAAAAATTAAGAAAATATTTCTTAATTATATTAATCCTACTACGGCAGAAACGTATCAACAATTGGACCCTTAATATTTCTAAGAGGGCCGCCCAAAAGTCCACTTATGCTAGGTAACTCATCTATAAATAAGGGGATAAGTCAATAAGATACACAGATTCTAAACCATCTCTCTCTTAGCTGTCATTGTGCACACATCTCACCCTTTGACTATGTCGTTATTATAGTACATAGTGATCCACTGATCTCTATGGTATCTTCCCTATAAATACCTGATAGAGGGCATATATGTCCAATATTAACATATCAGTAACATGACTGGACATATCTGTCCCTAGGACAGAACAAAGTGATGATCATAATTTTTTTTATGCTTAATAGGAATAATTTTTTATTTTATTATTTGTTGTGTTATCAAACACAATTCTTATTCTCAGAATAAAAATAAAACATGTTATCAAACACATTTTTTTTCTCAGAAACTGTTCCAAGGCACAGAAATATAAAAGATTTTTTTTTCAGAAACAATGCTAAAGAACATATTGATTGTCATGCACACTCTTAAGACCGGTGGAATATGGCTCATAATTCCTATGCTGATGAGGGTCCTTATTGGCGGAGTCAGCAGAAAGGTAACTGGGGTGAGCAGGCGAGGGTTTAGGGGGCAGTGCCCCTAGCCCTGTAAAGGTCTGGTATTGTTGTAGGCCTCTAACATATTGTAATTTTCTTTTACGTTTGGGTTTGAGCCCATGAATAGCTGTTGTTAAGAGTTTCTAAATCATATTTATATTCCCTTATAAATCGAGTGATTTGTAACGAGTGGCGTTGAGGTAAATATAGTATAAATAATATGGACGTAGCCTACATTAGATGAATCAGGATAAACCACTGTGTTGATTTCTCTTTTTATTTTTTGATTTGTATGTGTGTCAATTTCCAACAAGAACGAGGGAAAAATTTTAAATATTATACTTTAAATAAAGAAATACAAAAAATATGGCAATTTGAACCTATTTACAGAAGTATAATAACCAGTTATACATGGAGGTGGGCGCAACTACCCATGTATTATACTTAATTCTGTGCGCAACTCATATGATGATGTCATTTGGCTTAATCCACACTGTCTGCCACCTTCTCTCTCCCTTATATAAACATATATCCTCCCAACAATTTCCACAACTCTTCTCACTCTCACTTTCTTCTCTGGTATGTACTCTCTCTAGCTTATTCTTACTATATTTTATGTTTTCCTTTCCTCGATGAGTTCATATTTTGTTCGTGTAGTTTTCTATTACAATGGTAGAAAAGTGTAAGGGGATAATTTTTTAGGGCGATAAAAGGCCAACGCGAATCAAGCACAACATAACATATGTAATGGCATTCGGCACGGGAAGCACGATGAATCTTGAGCACCCTCGGGTACCCTCCGTTCCACACTGCCTGTGAAATATGTTTGTGCCGCCTCAAAATATCCCACACCATCGATCCTAGAATCACCTGACTATCAGATCCACCAAGAGTAGAGGATCGAGCAGACTCCAATGATGATGAATCGATGATAATCCTTATATAAAATATTATTGAATTCTTAATATCTCTGTAGTAAAATTTTACTCACATATTCATACAATTTAATAAAATAAATATATTTAATTAAGCCTAATACAAAATATATTGAACATAATAAAAGTGATGGTACAACAAAATAAAAAAGATATATATTAAATTAACAGAAAAATATTTCTACTGTAGATAAGTTATCTGCATTTACTCAAAAAATGACATCATTTTGGTATTGAAATATTAAAAAATTATAATTATAAAGACTATTATAACCCTAAAATAAATTAAAATTACAAAAATACGTTGATTTTTACCCCAAAACGACGTCATTTTGGGCTCAATGCAGATAACTTATCTGCATTTACTGCTGAAAAAATGAACCCTTAAATTAAATATACATAAATTTATTATTTTTAATGCAAAATAACTAAGCATAGTAAAAGTCATTAAAAATGTGCTAGGTATATTATAAGTCAATCCTGAGTCAATAATCATGTTCTAAGTCATATTATAAATCAATACGCATATCCCAAGTCATTAATCATGTTCTAAATTACTAGGCATGTTATAAATCACTATGAATGTTCTAATTCACTAACAATGTTCCAAGTTAATAAGTTAGTGTTTGGTTGAAGGTTTATTTTGGAATTGATGAAAAAGTGTAAGTGGATATTGAAAAATACTACGTTTGGTTCAGGTTTTTTCAAAAAATACTAAGCAAATAGAATAGATGGGAAAATGACTTTTGCGTTAATTTTTGGATGAGATTCACTATTACAGAATACCACTTGAGATGTGGTATTTTATATTGCGTTGATTTGCAATAGAAAATACGCAAACGCAACTGTTTTTGCTTCATTCTTAATTTTTTTAAAAGATCGTGTTCCTTTTGGTTTTTTATAAATTTGTGTGAATCTTTTTGTGGCCAACCACTCCGACAACCCACAGAAAGTACCCAGCATACTATTCTTATTTTATCCCTTTTTTTTCTCTCTCTTTCTTAAGAATTTGTTTCATGAATATTAAATTTAATTAAACTTGTGCAATGTATCAAAGTAAATAATTTGATAATATTGTAATTAACAATGATATAATTTTTTATATTAAAATTAATTTCAAAAAAAAAAACAATAAAAATAAATTAGTATATCAATCATAAAAATAAACTCTACTCGTTAAACCAAAAATAAATAAATAAATAAATTTTACTCTGCAATTCATATAATTTATTTAAACCTATAAATTATATTTTTTTTTTACAAGAGAATATAATCATTAGTGTAATTTAGTAATAACTTCTGTTATATCAATTAAAAAAGTGCGTATAAATCTACGTATAATTTCTTTAATTTTTATTTTTGGTTATGTTTTGTAGAATGTGCTTATTTGCGCCAAAAAGTTAAGATGCGCCTTGGTAGCGTTTGGACTTTGGAGAAAAGTTGAGACACCATGGGCGGAAAGCGGGGAACATGGAATCGCAGAAAATGATGGAACAAACAGTGTCTCTCAAAAAGCCAAATTTCATGCACTGAAAAAATAAAAAATAAAATCAGTCACCATATTACAAGCTTCATATTTTCTTGGCTTATATGAAATACAAAAGTTAAGATGGATTAGAGGAGCAAGAAAGAGAAAATTTAATGAATAGCGAATACAACAAAAGTGACAACTAAGAAAAGATTTACCTCGAAAAAAATATTTAGAATGACAAAAGGAAAAAAATAAAAAAGAGAAAAACGAAATTCTTTATGGGTTTTATAAGAGTTATATTGTAGGAAAAATAATTATGTAATGTTATAGAGATTCGTTTTGGGTGCCGTAATTTTCTTCTTCTTTTTTTCTTCAAAAAGTGTAGGCCCCACAAAATGTTGTGTGTGTCGAAAAATTTGTTATGTTATGTTAAATGACAAATGCAAATCCTATCCTTTATTGGTTGAAACAGAAGTCACTGTTGAACTAGTGTTTGTAACAGATACCTTTTTAATTTTCATCTCGTGTTTTCTAACAAAAGATTAATCATAAATATTCATTTTAAGAACTTTACTTAATTTAAAAATAAAGTAAAATTATTACATTTTTTTAATTACATTTAAAAAAAATGATGAGCCAATGAACCTGACAACGTGCATTGAGTTAGACTTGATTGACAAAATACCACCTTGAAAGTTGAAACAGCTTCACCTGATTGGGCCGGGCCGAATAAGACCGAAACTAAAGCGGCCTGATTACCGGCCCGTTTTTACAGCTGAATCAACTGATGCGGGAACTGCTTCACCTGATTCATTCTTCATTAGCGATAGTCACGTGCCTATGCTGGAGCGCTCGTGATTCTTCTTTCAATTTCCTTGTGTGATTCTCAATATTCGTATCGACCGCGTCAATAAAAAAAAAATATACTAATGGATATGTATATATATATAAAAAAAAACTTATGGATAAAATTTGATTGATGACATTACAATGCATTTCCACTCCAACGGGTGAATTTTAGAGAATAATATTTAAGAAAGAAGAAATTTTATTATCCACTCTTATTGAAATATTTGCTTTAAACTTTATAACAATGCTCTTA